CTTGGAGAGGCGCGGCCGCCCCGGCGGGACGGGACGGGACGGGCTCGGTTGTCCCGGCGGAGTGCGGATCTTTGCCCTCTCCTCCCTTGTTTCGCTGTCCTCGCAGCCGGCCGCGGCCTGACAGGAGGCACGGCGGAGCAGCAGGCCGCACCGAGAGGTCGCCGCGGCCTGCCCCGGGCAGCCCTTCCCGCCGCGCTGCTTTGCCAGCCCCGTGGGGCTCTGGGAAGCTCAATCCCCACCCCCCCCCCCCACCCGCTCCTGCCCCGAACTGGGCAGGAATTGGGATTTTTATCCCCAGCTCCTGACCAGAGGGCAGCTGGTGGCGGTGCCACAGCAGCAGGCTCTGCCCGGTGCCATGGTGTGAGGCAGCACCATCGCTAGGCATGGGTTGGGTTTCGCAGTAGGGCAGGGCCGATGCCGCTTCGCTGTGTGGGAAGCGCGGCTGTGGTCGCTGGAGGTGATGCTGGGGCCTACGCGCCATAGGCCATGTCTCTCGTGGGGCTTCTTCACAGCACAAGTGCTCTTGATGGAAGGAACGGCAGAAATAGGTTTGAGATTCACCCTTTAAAGTATATACTTAGCTTTGCGGTTTCTTAAGAGGGAGGCTGTTGTCGCATGTGTAGGAGATGTACAAACAGATTGATGCAGTTACCCAATTAAGATTTCTGGCAGTCTTTGACAGCATAAAGAGGTGTCAAGCGTGGCTGATGTACATATCAGGTGAATGGTTACTTCATTTCTTTGAAATGGAAAAATACACAGAGGACCCTTGTGGAACAGGAATGCCGGTCCCGTGCCCAGGCTTCGTGAGGGGCAAATGGCAAATTTATGTTGCTCAGGGTTGAACATAAGTTGTCAGTGTGCCTCAAAGTAGCGATAAATATGTAGTGCTACACTAAATCTGAAACAGGGATGGGAGCTTCAAAAACACCAATCAATCAAAAATAGACTATATATTAAAGTGAAAGTTGTTCATGAAACAGGTATCTCTTGATCTGCAAGTCTTTTGTTGCACATCCTTCAAAACCCATGCTTGGACCTTAAATAGGTGGATTTTGGAGCCTCTGCTATTGCAATTAGCTTCTTGGATAGTCTTAGAATCCCATGTGAGTCCACAGATGATGGATTAAAATATGCAGTGAGTCATATTAAATTGGTGCCAATTGAAATGCACAGGTTGTAAATCACTGCAGAATTTGACTCAGTAAATAGCAATCATAAATGTAATACTTTGCAATTCTAAACACTGCGTCTATCTTAGGTTAGTTCCTATTTTTTTCTGAGGAACAGAAAACGCTTCATAAAATACTGATTTACTGGTCTTTGCGGGAAGCCTGGAAAGTGACACTGCATTGGTGTCCTAGCTTTTAACTGGCTAAACTAAGTTATAGGGGGGATGGATGAGTTGCTTATGATTGTGCATGAAAGCTGTGGTAGAGCCAGGAACATAATCCAAGTCTCCTGACTCCTGGGTTTGAACTTTAAAACCAGATCATGTTTCCTTTGTGCTTTCAGTCTGTATACTGACCTTTAGGAATCGTATTTACCTACAAGTTCCCAGAAGAGATCTACTTTCCCTTGACATGCTTTCCTGGTATCAATTACACTTTTCTTCTGATGAGTATTTTGAGCATATAGAATACACGGAGAGAGCATATGAAAACGGAATTTCCTGTGGAGGCACTGGGGGCCAGGTCTGCTCCCTGTAGACTGCATTAATAGGTAATAGGAAGTGGTGGATGTGGATCCACCACTTAAAGCTAAAGAAACACTGTTTCCGTAAATACTTATACACATCCTTCCTTCAGACCTCGCTGCAGAGGAGGGAGGGATGGTGCCCACAGTGCTGAGGACAGAGAGGGATCTGTGCTGGGTACAGTGGGAGGGTGCTGCTCTGAGATTCTCCTTTACATCAGACTATTTCAGTCCCTACACCTTCCAAGAAGCAAAGGACTGTTCCCCGCTTCTCATGTTTCTGTAACGTTAAAGAGGGAATAGATAAAGAAGAGGAAGGATGTCTGAAAACTTTAGAAAATGCCAAGGCAAGAAAAAAAGATGGTGAGATTGTTACACTCTGTCATGGTGAAAAGCCATGAAGTCTGATCATTCTGGCCCTTGGGGAAGGAGACCTCCATGACCAGATGTCATTAGAACTGGATTGGCTGAGCTCTGGCTTGCTGACCTGTTTGAAAACTCAAGTGATTGAAGGCAGGAGCAAAATCATACATTGGAGCCCAGTTCTATGGGACTTCCCAACTTGGGGAAAGCATGGGGGATCCTGTGTCATCCTTAAAGTCGTATGTTTTCATGATCCTTTCTTCCAGCAGTTTTGTGCTATTCATATGTGCAGCCCAAAGTAGCCATAATGCTACCCCAGGCTGCCCGCCTGCTGCTTCATATTTACAGTCTGTAGTGGTGTCTGAATTTTCAAACTTACTGCTTAAGAAAAATGAGGGCTTAGCTCAGTGTCTTGACCTCTGTATCACAACAGAATCTTCAGAGACATAAAAGAGATGATAGCTTTCAGTGCAGCCTTGGGTAAATATTACAGGAAGCAGCTGAGATATTTGTTTGATGCTTAACTTGTCTTAAATTATCTTAGTTGGGGTATTGTGGAATCTGGATCAAATCTTACAGAATCAAAGGCCAGTGTTCATATATATTTGTTGTATAATTCTGGGGGCATTTTCCAAATTCCCAAGTTAGTTTGCATGGAGAGTGATACAGGGTTTCAAGCAAAGTTTCCTAATGACATGAGTGTTACTGTACCAGTTTGGCCATGTAGTTCCATCCAGTTGTCTGGATAGGACTTATGTTTTATATTGCTTGGGAAAGGCTTATGGAAGCTGCTTATTGAAAAGGCATCATGCAGAATGTGTGGAAGAGAATGGAGCCTGCAGATAAACTATCCAGAGCTCTTTAGATCTGCAGGCATGGCTTCATTACTCCCTCCTGGCTTTCTCCTCCCTTTATAGCTACTGCTGTATGGATGACTGCCTTGCAAAACTGTGAGAGAGCTCGACCGTAGAGGCCAGCAAATCAGAGTGGAAAGAAACCTGAGCAAATCAAAATCAGGCTCCACAGGCAAAGAGAGATCACCTTATATGGGAACATCATGGGCAAGAAGATGAATACGTCCGGCTGAGCTGCTGAGGTCAGATCCCAAACAGATGGAAGACGTTAATGTGAAAACGAGAGCATTTAGGAAGAGAAGACAGCAGTTACTTCTGCTTCACTTATGCAGTCTGAGCCCTCCTGTTTGTCTCTTTTATTGTAAATATCGTGTTATGTGTATGTACACATAGGTCTGACAGTGTTATATTAAAAATCAATTTCTTTGTGGCTATTCTAGCACCTAAATGCATCCCAGGTCTGTTTCTGGCTCCCACTTGCAGCTTTTTCAGTTGTTATTATGTAGCAGGATTTTGCTTGCTGAAGTGTCACTAATACCAACCATAGCAGTATGGACCATGGTCAGCAAAAGCCTAAGGAGTGATCACCGATATCTCAAAAAATTAAGCCTGTTTGTGCAGAATGTAACTTGTGCCTGTGTGCCAAAGCATTTAAGACAATACCAACAGCCAAGAAGCCTGTCTGGTTCTGAATGTTTTGTCATGACTACAGCCATAGGTAGCATCCTAGATGATTTTAAATACTGAAGGATTGGAAGAAAAACATTAGATCTGTGTTTGTAGAGTTTGTATATTTTGTGCCTCTATGTGGGTCTTCTGTTGCAAGAGAGAGGACCCTGGTCCTTTCAATCTGGGTCTAATGGATTCTGATCCAAACTTCTTGTCTTTCAGACTGAGCCTGAGATTTACAGGTCCCACCTCAACAGCTCTGCATCTTTACAGCTCCACCTCCTGTGTTTACAGTGTCAGATGGTGGCCTCATACCTGCTCCTTTGCCCCCTTGGACCAGATGCAAATAGTTGGCTTGCAGCACACTGACCAGCTCTGGCTCATGCATGATTCTGGGGAGTAGGAGAAGCTGCAGCCAAAGTATGTGCCATGTATTGGTTCTGCTGAGAGGAGTAGTGGCTTTATCACTCCCTTTTAATCCCATGACCAATACAATATGGATACGTGACCAGTTGGATACAAAACCAATCTAAGACCACATAGGATGGTGTCCCATGCAATGTGAGATAAGCTGGAGATCTCTGTGGTCACTGATGACCCAAAATCTTGCTTTACCATTGCTCTGTGCCTTGCATGGCCATTGCGACTCCTGCAAAGTGGGTGTTGCATGCATCTGCCCAGCCCAGAAATGCATTATACCTTCTTTGCAGTGGTGCAAAGTGTTGGGTGGTGGAGAGTCAGGCCCAGAAGGTCAGCCTGACACTGGCTTCCATCCGTTTAGCCCCATCTCTACAGTTGTCCCAGTGTTACTTCAGACTGGCAGAGACGAGTAGTAGTGAGGAGAGATGGTGCCATCAACAGAAGGTGACAGGAACAGTGCTGAGCAATCAGTTCTGCAACTCCAGGGTGAAATTTGGTGCTTTTTCTGGGAACAAACCAGAAGACATGGATCTTCAGGCAGTTCTTGATTCCATCAACTGCCGTTCTTTAAAAGGCCTGTGGTACCATTCTCATACAGGTTTCTGACTGTGCCTTTAAGTGAGGTGGCCTGAGAAAGATGCAAGGGTGGA